AAAACTCCCACCCATGAGTGTATGAGGCTTTAGAAGGACATCTAGACACAAGCCATGACATTTACTTAATTCTATAAACATTATTCTTCTCCCCAATAAGATCCTTTGTACCATTCCTCTCTTCATCTTTCTCACATATGGTTTAAAAGCTTTAGGGCCGGGGAGATGGCTCAGTGGAATAAGTGCTTCACTGGCAAGCACAAGGGCCTGAGTTCAATCCCTGGTTCCACAAAAAAAAAAAGGCTTTCCTCTTGCATTTCTCCCATTCTCAAATCCTCTATTTTTAACAGCATAACCATAAAGCTTTGTTAATCTTGACAGTTAAGTCTGCAAAATCACTTTTCAATTCTTTTCTACAATTAGAAGATATACAGATGCTGCATTTAGTATTCATTAGCTGTTGAGTCAGTACCTGGGTAGTCCTAACATTTACAGTATAATTAAAGATCACTTCTTTAGGATTAAATGATGGTACATAATTGGTTATTATGGTACATTAACATCTATTTTATCTTGGATTATACTATGGTAGCTGACTCACTTGATACTAATAGGATCACTATTTCTTTTTAAGTCAACACTCAGATTATCCTTGTGACATCAACAATGCTAGCATTCATACCAAGAGAATTTGGATCTGGCAATAACTACACTGCATCCTCTGCTCCCAAATTAACCAAAGTGGTCAAATCTTGGGGCTGTAGCAAAGGATTATAATTAGCCAACCCAAATTATATCACTGAAAGCAACTAAGGAGGTCTCCATACTAGCAAAAAGTCTTTAAAATATAAGCAAAAGAAGACTATAAAAGAGGGAGAAAGAAAAATAAAAGAACGATACAACTAAATGATGCTGAGAGAACTAGACAGCCACATGCAGAATGGGCCAAAGCCCTATCTTTCTCCAGTAACAAAAAACAACTCAAAACAGATTAGTCTTAAATATAAAGCCTAAACTTATGGAACTACTGGAAGAAAGAAGCGCTTCAAGACACTGAAATAGGCAGAGGTTTTTCTTAACAAGACCCCAAAACCACAATGAAATAAAAGGAAAAATAGACAAATGAGCTTATAGTAGTCCCTTGCTATTTCGTAGTTTGACTTTTGCAGACTGTTTCATGGGTTTTCAAAAATTATTAACATAAATGATCATGGATTTTTTGCTATGTCATGAGATTTTGGCAGTAATGTACAGTAGTGTACATGTATTTACATGCATAGTATCTATGGTCTTAATGATCTTTGCCTAAAAAATTTAAATATATAAAAATATATTTAAAGTGTTAATTCTAACATATTAAAATATTAAATCAAAAGAAAATACACTTTTTACAGTATGTGTCTTTAGCAGATGAATACATACTGTATCAGACAGTATGCCTATCTTGTTAAAATTATGTAAGTTTACGAGTTTAGAAAATGGTTAAGAACATTAGAAGTGTTATGTGGGAACGGTTTATAAGAGTGTGAAAAGGATTTATATAGCCTTAAAATATATATAAATAAAAAAATAAAAAATGAATATATATATATATAAATACTAAAATAAATATAACATTGCTACTATGCTGAGTTTCACTTATCATGGGGGTGCTGGAACATCACCCCCATGGTAAGTGAGGGACCACTGTACACTGAACTAAATACTTTCTGCTCTACAAATTAAACAATGAATGGAATGAAGATACAATCTACAGAATGGAAGAAAATTATCTGCAAACTATACATCTAACAAGAGGTTGGGATCCATAATACATAAGAAACTTCACAAACTCAATAGCAAAATAAAAAACAAAACAAGTTTATAAAATGGATAGCTGATGTAAATAAACATTTCTCAAATGAAGACACATGAATGGCCGACAGGTATATGAGAATGCTCAACATCACTATTCATCACAGAAGGGAAAATCAAAACCACAATGACATACCACCTCATACCAAAAATAATGGGTATTATGAAAATAAAAATAAATTTTGGTGAGAATGTGGGGAAAAGGAACCCTTTTTACACTATTGTTGAGAATGTAAATTATTAGAACAGCCATTATGGAGAGTAATATGGAATTTCCTCAAAGTTAGAAATGTAAGTACCCTACAATCCAACAATTCCGTTTGTGCATATATCAAAAAGAAATGAAATTTGTAAGTTGAAGAGATATCTGCACTCCCATGTTCACTGTAGCAGTATTCACAATAGCTAAGAAATGAAAATAATCTAAGTATCCATCAACCAAAAAACAGATACAGAAAATGTGTTATATGTACATCATGGAATACTATTTGGTTATAAAAAGAATGAAATCCTGTCATTTGTAGCAACAAGGATAAAACTAGAAATCATTATGGAAAATGAAATAAGGCACAGAAAGACAAGTACTAATAATCTCATTCCTATGAGAAATCTAAAAAAAAATCTGATTTCATAGAAATTCAGAGTCAAATAGCAGTTACCAGAGACTGTGGAGGAGGGACAGGGAAATGTTGATCAATACGTACCAAGTTACAGTTGGATAGGAGAAAGAAGTTCTGGTATGCTTTTGAATAACAGGGTAACTGTAGGTAATAATAATGTACTATATATTGCAAAAAACTAGAAAAAGTTTTGAAAATTTTCACTAAAGAAATAAATAATTGAGGATATAAATATACTTAACAAAATTATGTACATTGATAAATATATACATTATATTTGCAAACTATGGATCAAATATATACATTGATAAATAACATGATAATCATTTAATACATAATTTTATGTTTTTATTTATCAACTAAAAATAACCTTTAAAAAGAAATGAATCATTAATAACTCCAACAACTTAAATGAATCTCAAGGGAACCACAATAAGTGGTGAAAGTCAATCTCAAAATAGTATGTCCTAGCCAGGCATGGATAATGCATACCTATAATCTCACCACTCATATGCCTGAGGCAGGAGGATTGACACAAGTTTGAGGCCAGCCTGCACTATAAACTGATACCTCATCTCAAAAGAAAATATTCTGTGTGACTCAATTTACATTTATGAAGTAATTAAAGTATAGAAATAGAGGACACATTAGTTGTCAAGGACAGAATGGTAAGAGGAAAGTGTTGTAGCTATAAATATGTTGTATTTAGGTATTCTTATGATAGTGGAACAGTTCTGCACCTTAACTGTGATGATGATTACAAAGGTTACACATGTATTAAAATATATATTATCATATATTAGAATTGCTTACACAATTTTATAGAATATGTATGCTTGGGCCACATCCCCACAATTCTAATTAAATCTAGGATGGGACTTGAGTATCTGTGATTTTGAGGTACACCTCTGGTGAATAAACGTTACCTAAAGATGGGAGGGCTAATATAGCGCAGATATTAAGTGTTTGAAATTGTATAATCACAGGTAGTTTCTTATTCTGCTATAATAAATATACTTTCAAACAATGTAAAAATAATAAAAATACTTTTAAAAATCCAAACTAATTCTAATGGCAGTCAACCAAAGATACCTGCCATCCCTGTACAATACTAAGGATTAACTGCAAAGCCTTCACACTGAGCTTGAAACATTAAAGTTGGCCAGGATGACCTCAAACTTGTGATCCTCCTGCCTCAGCCTCTTAGGTGAGATTACAGGTGTGTCCTACCACACATGACTATGATTAGAAATCTGGGCTGGTCAGATAGCTCAGTGGATTAAAAAACCTGCTTAGTCAGACCCAGGGACTGGGGTTCGATCCCAACATGCTGTGCCAGCCCTAACCCAGGGGTACACTGAGATGATAACTGAGACTGGGCATGGTGGTGTATGCCTGTAATCCCAGGTTTGGGAGGGTGAAAACAGGATTACTACAAATCTGATCTGAGTAGTGAGACCTTGTAGACCCCCTACTAAATATATTTAAAAAGAAACCTTTGGATTCTATTTCACTTATATAATATTTACCCAATTTTTGCTCTTTTTTTTGTATTTTTAGGGAAAAGACTACAGGGTGTTCAGGGTCTCACTACTAGATTGGACTCATAGTGATCTGCCTGTTTACAGCTTCCCAAGAGCTGGGATTACAGGCATGTGCCACCACACCCAGTCTCAATTGCCATCTCAGCGCACCCCTTGGGGCAGGGCTGGCACAGCAGGCCCAGGGATTGAACCCACAGCCCCTGTGCGTGCTTTCAGGCACTCTAATCCACTGAGCTACTTCGCTGGCCCCTCCAACTTTTGCTCTTAACCCATTTCCATTTTCTATATTTTTTATAAGATGACAGATGTGTTCACACTTTATTGATGTCCAACTATACTGTATCATTTTTCCCTTATCTGCTACCCCAAAGTGAGCCCAAACCTTTCTTCTGCTGCTTAACAAAGCATATATAACTGTACTAGTAGTACCTTTTCTTCTCAATTATACAGTAACATGACTGGCATATGCTAGCTATGCTTTCTGTTTCCTCACAAATTCCATAGCAATTCATTTAATTCTCGTTAAGCAAAGATTTATTGATTCCCTGTTACATGCTGGGTACAATTCTGGGTTCTCTTTCCCTAGTATAAAATAATTAATCATAACAGAATTCCCTTGTCTCTATCCCTGGACAAACACCTGCCTGCATGTCTGTTATACTGCCTTTCCTATTACCTAATCCAGCCAATCTTGATAGACCTTATCACTGACTCCATTGCAAATCTTTACAGATTGGACTAGTGATTTATAAGACTTTGAAAATAGAACTAATAGACCTTTTGTGGAAAAGGTCTCTCCTTCCACTGGCTTCTCACAATATTCTATTAATAACACTCTTAGAGTACTTCATATATTCTGTGTATTAATATTTACTTGTCTGTATGTCTTAGTTTGTCCCATAAATTATACACTCCTTAAGAGAAAGAACCATGTTCTTTCCAGCTTTGTAGATCCAGTAAATATTTTTCATGCTTTTGCTGGTGGCTCTGAATAACTAACCAAGACAATAGTAGTTCCTGAAAGCACAGTTGTCAATCTTACCTGTACTTCCACCATCCAGTCCACAAGAATGGCCCTCATGTCACTGGTGATCTCAGTCTGCCTTTCCATGTATTTTTGAAGTATGAACTTTTCCTAGCATCAATGAGAAATAAATGTTAATAAACTCTTTGTGTAGCTCAAAATTGTAACTTAACAATTAACTTCTCCTCCATATTCTAGCTTATTATTTTCAAGTGGTATAAGAAAAGCAAATCCATATTAATATGCTGAGCTCTAAAAGGCTCAAGTCAACAACTTCTGACATTGCCAGTCCTATGAATAACCCACTACTATTATGAACTACTGGACTATATTGGATTATTTTGCTGAATTCATGCACCTACAATATTTAAATAGCAATGGAATACCCATCTCTGACAAAACTAAACAAAAAAGGTGATATAAATGAAGGACCATTTTGTATCTGTACATACAAAATGGTTAGGATAGATATACAGCTACTTACTCTTAATTCAATGAGAAGAAATTTGTATTAATAGTGTTTGGACAGGATATCATGTCTGCATCTTGTACTCTGAATAACTACTACAAAGGCAACAATATGCAATGTATTAATTATTGTAACTGTCCTACTAACCTGTTTTGAAACTGTCTCATTGCTATTTGTTTCTCAATAAAATTTTAAAAGGGACCAATCAAAATACCCATTTATGGACAAGTTCGGTTTATCTTTGGGAAAGTGGCTACACACAATATACAAGTATCAGAGTTAATACTAAGGAATCCAGGGGACTGGGAGTAGAAGCGTACCTATTGCTATAGATGAATGTTTCTGTCTCTTCTTTACACTTCAGCCTAACATGTAATACCTTGATATGAAAAGCAGTTCTTTCAAGTATACACAGTACCCTTGGGGATCTTAACAAATATCAGATTCTGATTCAGACAACAAAGCTGTCTTTATTTTCTCTAAGGCACAGATAGTCTCCAACATACAATGGTTGACTTAACAGGCTTTCAACTTCATAATGGTATGAAAGGAATATACATTCAATAGACACTATACCAAAGACTGATAAAAATTCTACTTGGTACATAATCTTGGTGTTGTCCATTTTATTGAGACAAAAGAAAAACTGGAATGATGAATATTGGTGGCAAAAAGATAGGAAAATTTCAAAGGAAAAAAAATTACAAGGTTAGAGAGCTGAAATGATGGATATGATCTTACACAGTACCAAAAATTCATAAAAAAGGAAATATCTAAGAGCAGCCACTCAGAAGCAAATTACTTGACCATCTCTGTATCTGAGACTGTCTCCACAGTACATAGAGGCGCAGGGAATGTGATCTTCAAGATAATCAGATTTTAGTCTGTAAGCTAGTTGTAGAGATATATTAGTTGTGTGACACTAGGCAGCTTCTTCTGTATTTAAAAGGGAGATGATAACGTCTATCATTGTGAAACTACTGGGAGAATTAAGCAAGGTAATGTCTGTAAATCCCTTAATACAATATCCAACTGAAAACAAGGTACCAGTAGATGTTAGTTAATATTTCTTTCACCATCATTATCTTCCTTTCCAACTTGCACGCTAAAGAATGGAATGATGAGGAAATGAGAATTATATGAATTACTACCCTTCCCCAGCTACCTACACACCTCTCTGTCTTTTAAGTAACTAAATACGTCCTTGGCATATGCTGGGTTGAAAGATGAATCACGGTGGTATTTGTCAATATCTTCCAGTGTGGTCATCTGCATGGAAACCACCAAAAAAGACATATTAGAAGAGAGTCCAAGGAAGCTCATACACATTAAGAAAGATGCTTTCCTCAACCACTGTTTCCTTATTCTAAGATTCCTCAAAACTCATGTATCCATAACGATCCAGAGTACCTCTTGGCCCTGGAATGCCTCACACTACACAATGATCCAGAAATATATAGTATATGCCTGCTCAATCCTAGAAACAAGGAGCCCTTTTAGGGGTAAGCTCAACTCTCTAAGAAAGACATTCTTGTTTTATTATTTTAGTTAGGCCACCTTCCTTGTTAGGTTCCCTGTTATGTCTCAATGCTTTGATCTAAGCCCAATATCTTGGTAGCCTTTTTCTCCCTTCTATACATTTATTCTTGTTATTTTGACTATAAGAGGGATATTTGTCTGCCTGCTTGCTAAATTTCATTCCTTTATTCTTTTAATTTACAATTTAGGACCACATTCCTTGGAAAATGCCCATGTGAATTCATCCCATCTTTGACTGAAATTCATGTGATGTTGAGTGAAATTACTAAAATAATTTCTTAACCACTACTGGAAATTCTAAGTATACAGTGTAATATTCCAGACCCTTGTGGATACAAATACTTCCTGATTGGGTAGGTATATCACTGTATCAATCAGAAAGTCAACATATTCTGTAAGACCATCTTGATACAAGAAAAATGCCAATGAGCCTGCAAAATTTATCCTATACTGCAGATAACCTTAGCATATAAAACACGGAAGAGATTATTCTGCATTACCTACCATTAAATAAAAACAGTAAACCCAAACACTATCCCCGTCTTGCTAAGGGGATATTACTACATATAGCTTAATTGCTTAAGAAGACAAAAACAAATCTCTGGGTCTAGGGCTATAGCTCTGTGGTAGACTGCCTTGCATATGTAAGCCCTGGGGTTCCATCCAAGGTGCCAAAAAACTTTGCTAGCAGCTTCCTCTTGGACAACAACAAAAAAAATTTCATCTAATTTAAGAAAAAAAAGATATGAATACCTCCTGTGTTCTTCCAAGTAAGAAAGCCATTTGGGAACCAAGTTCACTTGTACTGGACTCTCCCACACTGGACATATTGGCAGCATTGAACTTGCTTGTTTTGGATTCAACATCATTGCTAGACACACGTGCACTGTCCTCAAGGATCAAAAATGCTTCTGGAAAAAGATCTTCCTTCTCAGTAGGATTCTCTTCTAAAATTAATGGCTCTTGAAAAGACAACTCATTTCCAGTGGTAGATTTCTCATCCAAGGCTAATGGCTCCTCAGAAATGACTTTATCATCTAAGTCAGACTTCTCCTGAAAGGCTAATGGCTCATTGTGGATAGCCTCCTCCTCACTGCTGGGCTTCTCCTCCAAGGCCAAAGGCTCCTCTAGAACAGCTTTCATCTTAGGGCTGTGCTTCTCCTGCAAGGCCAATGGTTCTTTCAGTATAGCTTCTGATTTAAGGCCAGCTTTCTCCTGTAAGGCCAGAGGCTCTGTGAAGATAGTTCCTTCCTCAATTGTAGGGTTCTTCTGCAAATTCAAACATTCCTGGAAGATGGGCTCCTTCTCAATACCAAGCTTTTTTTGAATGGTCACAAGTTTCTCAAAGTAAGCCTCTATGTCAATGGTATGCTCCTTACGAACATCCTCCTTTTGAGTGCTGAGCTTCTTCTGTATGGCCAAGGTGTTCCTGAAGAGAGGCTTCTTATTGCACACAAACTTCAGTGGATCTTCAATTAGGAACCTTTCATTATCAGTGATGTTCTCATGCAAAGCCAATTGCTCCTTTGAAAGCAGTGCCTGCCCCTGAGCAGTGGGCATGTTCTTCATAGGTAATTGCCTTTCTGTGATGGTTGCTTTCTTATCAGAGGGCTTTTCCCTCAAAACTGAGGGCTCACCGAGACAGGACTCTTCTGTCTTCGTGCTCTTCTCATGAAAAACCAATGCCTTCTTTAAAGAATCCTTTTTGGAATAAGTCTCCTCTTGCAAGACCTCAGTCTTCTGGAAATGGGGCTCACTGTCATCAGTAGGCTCTTCAGGGGAAAACAGCTCTGGAGAGTAAAAAAACTCATCAGGCACATCCTGCTCCTCCAAAGTCACCTGTTCTTTACTACAAGATTCTTCTTTAGTGGTGGTCTTCTCCTGCAAGGGTACTGGCTCTCTTGAAAGTGACACCTCTTGAAGAGCAGTATGCTTCTCTTTCAATGCAGATTGCTCCTGGAAGAGGAACACCTCTTTAGTTGATGTCTTCTTTTCAATAGGCGACAGCTTCTTACCGAGTGACTGCTCTTCAGAAGTAGTCTTCCCATGAGTTGTTTCCTTCTTCTTCAAAGATGATGGTGTTTTGGTAGGGACTGCTTTCTTAGTTGTACACTTTTTTTTAAATAATACTCGCTTCTTAAGGGAGGAATTCTTCTCTTTATCAAGTATATCCTGCCAGTCTGAAAGATCTATCCAGCGGAGCATTGTTTCAGTGGTGCACTTTTTCACCTTTAAAGACGTGTTTTCTTCTTTAGAGGACAGTGGCTTCTTAATGGGTGACTTCGTTTCAGAGGTCACTGTCTGCAATACTAATGGCTTTTTCAAATGAGACACTATCTCTTGAGTAGCATGCTGTTTCTCCTTTAAAGGCAAATGTTTCTTGCTTAGGGTAACCTTCTCAGTGTTATACTGCTTTTGAAGAGGCAACGACTCCTGAAAAAGAGACTGCTTCTCAGTAGGAGATTTTTGCAGGGCCACAGGCTTCTTCAAAATGGACACTTCTTCCTCTTCCAATGAAGATGAATCTTGGGAAAGGGAATCCTCATTGGTAGACTTTTCAAAGGACAATGGCTCTTTAGTAAGTGAATTCTCTCTACAGGGGTCTGTTTTTAGTGGTAGAGGCTGGTAGTGAGAGAGCCTCTTCTGAATTTTCTGCTTCTTTTTTGAAGGTAATGGCTTCTTCACGTAGCTTGCCCCCATGGTAATATGCTGTTTCTTATAGGTATCAAAGCTAGCTTCACTGTTGATATTCTCTTGTAGTGTCCAAGATGTCTTCCAGAGGTCCACCTCTGCTTCACTGCTATGTTTCTCTTGTGATGAAGATGGCTCTTGGCAGAATTCAGTGATAGGGTCTCTTTTAAAAGACAATGGCTTTGCATTGAGTGACTTCTGAGAGATATCCTCCTGCACATCCAATGGCTTTTTTAATTGGGATGTAATCTCACACATATTGTATTTTCTCCCATGAGAAGGGTTTATCTTCCCTTGAAATACACATTTCTGCTTTCCAAAAACCGGGCTTTTGGTGAGTGTTGACTCCTTGGTGACAAGCTTCTGCTTAGAAATCAGTAACTCCTTAAAAAGGAAATCATCTTCTAAGTCAGTCTTCTCCTGCAAGGGCAATGATTTCCTTAAGACAGGGTTCTCTTGCTTAGTAGTATGTTTTTCTTTCAATGCAAATGGCTCCCAGGAAAGGGACTCTTCACTAGCAGTAGACTTTTTCATTAAGACTGATGGCTCCTTAGTAACTAACTCCTCTTCAGAGGTGATCTTCTGCAGTATCACTGGCTTTTTCATGTTGGAGATCTTTTCCACAGTGGTATGCTTACTATTTAAGGGTAACTGATTCTTAGAGGAGGATGACTCCTCAGTTTTAGGCTTCTTTCTTAAATTCATCAGATCCATAGAGAAGGAACCCTCTTCAACATCGCTGTCCTGCGAGGTCACCAATTCTTCAGAGAAAGATTGTTTCCCCTGATATGTATACATCTTGTTTAAGGATGTCTTCTTGTTGATAACTCTCTCCTTGGGATTATGCTTCCTCTGAAAAGTGACTGGCTCTGTAATAAAATCATCATCATCACTCTCCTCCTGCAAGGATGGTGACTTTTCCAATAAGGATGCTTCCTCAGGATTTGAGCACTTCTTTAATGACTTCTTTATGATGGTTTTCTCTTCCATACTAGGTTCTCCTTTTAAAATTATGGGCCTTTTGACAGAAGATATCTCCGCAACAATGGGTGTTTGGGAGTTGGAAGATACATCCGGAAGGAATGGTTTTTCCAAAATATCTGGTGCTGAGGGAGTAGAAGTTACAACTGGTACAAGGTGCAACCTATATCTGTAAAGGAAACAAGATTTGGGTAAGAAAAAGTATTTTTGCCCAGAGCTTCCTGCTACCTTGCACCAGTGGGACCTGCCCGTCCAAGCCCAGGCGCAGCGTGGGTGAGACCCTCTTCCATCCCCTTGGGAGCCCCCAACCATGCTACAGTACCCCACCCCCAACCCGCCTGCCAAATGAGAATTTCTGCCGCATTCTGAGGACCCCCAGATCCAGTCCTAGCGCAGGCCCCAGTGAGTGCGTGGGAGAGCGTCCGGCTACCCTGTGCCAGCGGGACCTGCCAGTTCAAGCCAAGGCACAGCATAGGTGAGACCCTCTTCCACCCCCTTGGGACCCCACCATACTCCGCAGCATCCCACCCCCACCTCGGCTGCCTAGTGAGAATTTCTGCCACGTTCTGGAGACCCCCAGATCCATTCGTGGCCCAGGCTCGGTGAGTGTGTGGGAGAGCTTCCTCCACCTGCTACTCCACCTTGTTGTCTCCAGACTCAGCTCAGGCCTGGCATACAGGCCTGGGGTGAAACCCTGCAGCTGTAATCCCTGCAGGGAGAGTAGGGAAAAAGCCACCCAGCTAATCCAGGACAAGAACATCTTGCCAGAGGCGCACAACAGGTTCATCTCCAAGAGTAGCAGCAGGAAGGAGCTGAGCACAGCAGTCAGACCCAAGCCAGGCACAGCTGGATAAATCCAAACTTTGCAGATCTGCACCTGAATTTCAGTAGGTGCTAAGGTTATAACCACACCAAAGCTCTACAACAAAGGTCAGAAGACAGTGCTACACAAAATGACAATGAGAAGGAGCAAAATGCAATCTCAGAACCCAAGCCCACCCATAACAAGTGGAGAGGACACTAACACAGAACAAACTGGGAATCACACAGCTGAAAGCAATGAATCAATGGCTTCTGAAATAAAGAAACAACTACAGAAAGGTATAGAGGAACTTAGATTGGAAATGAATAAAAGAAATCTCTGAATTAATAGCATCTGCTGTAAAGAATCAAATTTAGAAACATATGGAGGAAGCCCAATGCCCACACAGAACAAGTACAGAGGATACTAGCTCAGCTCAAATGTATGAATTAATACCATCGAAAGTAACTAAGCAACAGCATAAAGTTATAGAGGAACTCAGAGCAGAATTCTTTTGTGGAATAAAAAAAGAATTATCTGAACACATAGCATCTGAAGTGAAGAATCTACTACAGAAACATAGGGAGGAAACACAATCTGAAATAAAAAAATGCAGTAAAAGATTAATAACTGCTTCTAAAGAAGACATTGAAAAAAAAATAGAAGAGATTAGAAAAATGGCAGATTCCTTGAATGAGCAATACAGGAAAGAAATAGATCACATGAAGAAGTGTCAAAGAGATGTAGAGTAACTTAAAATCTCAATCACAAGCTTGCAAAACTGTGTGAGTAAAAGTGAAGACAGAGTTTCAGATCTTGAAGACACTGATACAGCTAGTGAAAAGGTAAGAAAAGATCTATTAAAAACAACTAGGATGCAGGAAAAAATAATTCATCACTTGCAAGACGATGCAAAGATGAACAAAGTGAGACTAATAGGTATCAATGAGAAAGAAGGAGTAAATACAAAGGACATTAAAAATATGGGCAGAAGTAATAGCAGAAAACTTCCCAAATATGAGGAAACAATCTGACATCCAGGTAACCAAAGTATACAGAATGCCAAGTAAGCAAAACCCAATTAAAAACACACCGAGACATATAATAGTCAAGATTCCAGATTCAGCTCAAGAATAATATACGGAAAGCTGCTAGACAAAAGAAGCAGATAACATTCAAGGAAAACCCAACAGAATTACGGTCAACTTCTCTTCACAAACCATGAAGGCAAGAAGAGCATGGAGCAGAGTACTTCAAGTCCTCCATTAAAACAAATTCCAGCCCAGACTACTATATCCTGCAAAACTCTCTTTCAACTTTGACGGAGAAGTGAAATACTTTCATGACAAAGAACAACTAAAGAATTTCATGATGACAAAGCTAAGCCTACACAGACTACTGAAAGATGTTTTAGACAGGGACCAAAATGATCAGAACTCCACAAATGAGATCAGAAGCAACCAAAAGAAAATAGGGCAAACAATTAAACACAGGAGAAAAAAGGAGCAAACGACAACAGGCAAATAACATGTCAATCATAAGTAAATACATTTCAGTGTAAATGGACTCAATTCACTAATTAAGAGAAACAGACAGGCACAGTGGATTATGAAACAAAATCCAACAATATGCTGTACACAAGAAACACATTTAACTCATAAAGACATTCATAGGCTGAAAGTCAAAGGACTTTACTACAATACTACAATACTACATGCCCCAGCACCTCAGAGAAAAGCAGGGATAGCAATCCTACTCTCACACAGTCTCAACTTCAAACCAAGAACAATCAAGTGAAATAGAAGGCCACTATATATTGGTTAGGGGAAAAATTCAATAGGAAGAGGTAACACTCATAAATATGTATGCACCAAACACGGGAGCACCCAACTATATAAAGCAAATCTTAATGGACATGAAAAGTCTAATATCCA